GGTTTGAGCTGCCACTGATGTGGTTTGGCAGAGGAGCTGCCAAAGGATGGGTGAGGCTACAGTGGTTTCTCCCTCAATAGCTTTTCCCTAGGCTACAGCTCATCTCAAGCCAAGGTATAGGGTTAGCTCAGTGTTGAGAGTGGGGACAAACAAGCCCTTTACATGGGCCCTTTACAGCAGCCCTGGCTGCTGCCTCACCTCCCATCACCCACAAATCGGGGCTGGGGCTGCCCTTGCACCTCCCTGCTCTGCTGCCTCCTTCCCTTTCCTGTGGAAATGCTGCTGGAAATGCTTTGTGAGCGTGCTGGGAGATGGCCTGGAAGGATCTGGAGCTGTACTCCAGGAGAAAGCCACAAGCTGGGGTGACAAAAACGTCTTTCAAGGAGAAACAGCAGCCCTTTTTGGCCTGGTCTCTTACCCACTGCAAGATGATCAGAGCCACAATGAGATGCTGTGACCACCAGCCTTGTTCACTCCATGTCCTGCCCATGTAAGAGCTGGGACCTGCCAGGGATGTGGCAGGAGTCAGTGCATCCTTTGACAGGCTCTTGGCAAGGGTTCAGTTAATCACACATAAATAAAGCAAGGGTCACCTCAGTGGTGGCTTGCTTCCATTTTTATTTTCAAGAGAGAAACTAGCTCTGTGTGCTGCCACACAGATTCCTGCTTCCTCCTCTGTTGTGGGGCAGGGGGTCTGCAGGGAGCTGCTGAAGGCAGCATCTTGTCCAGTGCTGCCAGCCCTGCACCTGGGAGGGCTGCAGGACCTCTGCCAGGATCGTTGTCTTGCCTTTCCCAGGAGCAATCCCAGTTCTCCCAGACCCTCTCTAGAGAGTGTTCAGTTATTCCCAAGAAAGCCTGGGCTTCCCGTTCGGAGCTAGGACCTTGTTTGTCATCCTGCATGGCCACCTGAACCCTCCTTCTTCCCTCAGACCATCCTGAGCCCTCATGGAGGCTGGGCTGGAGGTCTCAGCATATGGGGAAGATGCTGTGGATGGCTGATGTTCCTTCAGTTCAGCCTTGGGGGACCTTCCTATTTTGGAGATCCCTTGATGGACCTCCCTATGGATGGGCTGATGTGTGGACTTCCCCAATGCCTTCATCCCTGCAGTCCATCCCCTAATCCGAAAGGCTGATGGGGAGCCCAGCAGTGGCAGGGGACTTTTTTCCCCAGGATGGAGGTGGGACAGGGCCAGCTGCCATGGTTCTGGTGTTTGGACAGCTCCAGACTGTCCCCATCCTCTCACTGCAAGGCCTGTGCCCCACCCTGGCTGTCACCTGAATATCCCAGAATGGGGATGCCCTTTCCCTCCCAGTCCTCTCTATAGCCCCTGGCCTTTCTCCCTACGGGTTTCTCCATCCCTTCCTGTCCCTCCATTGGCTGCAGACCCTGCCACAGGGTTGGCTCTGATTCACTAGAGGGCTCCCTGCCAGCTTTGCCAGAAGTCAGAGACAGAAAGAGGCACACAGCTCTGGAATAAACCACTTCATGATCCAGTCTAGACTTTACTGAGCTCTTGCAAAAACTTGTTATTAATGTAACATTGACGTATAAAGTAGAATGGGTCCGATTTCTCAGCTGGAGCTAGATGAACTTGATGGAACCACAGCAGTCAGTGGGACGATGCTCACAGACCTCAGCTGCCATGTGAAAATCCTGCCCGCGGGGGCAGCCTGGGGCAGGGGGAGGGCAGTTCGTGCCCTAGGGCTGGGTACCACGGTGCGGGTGGGTTTTCCATGTCGGCAGGAGACGGGTTGTGACGCTGCCCGTGCACCGCTCATCCCCGGGGCCGCTGCCGGCGCCCCGCTGCCGGCGCCCACGGGGAGCGTGCTCAGGGTGGGCTCGAGGGGAGGAAGGTGCGGGGAGGGATGGCGTCAGCCTGGCTCGTTCAGTTCCCTTCTCCCGAACTGGGAGCTGCTTTCCACGTCTCCGGATTCAGGCAGATGGACCGCCGTGAGCTGGAGCTTCAGCGGGAGCTGCTGGCAAGCTTGAACTGCAGGTGAGGGTGGCAGGGGAGCCGCCAGTGCTGGCCGTGGTGCCCCGACAGTGCAGACAGGCTGCGTGACCGCTGCAGCGAGCCGTCACCAGCCAGCAGCATCTCTCCTTGCATTGCTGGTGCTGAGGCAGTGTGGAGCTGGGGTAGAGGTCAGTGCAACCATCCAGAGCCATTTCCCGTGGAGAATTCCTGGCCAGGAGAGCTGCTGTGTGAGTGCTACATGCTGGCCGTGGCCAGGTCCTGGGGATGTGTTCTGTGCAGGAGAGGTGGGAGCCGGGATCTTGGCTGGCAGCACTCCGCGGGCTTCGGAGTACCGCGATTAGCACAGCGGCATGGGCTGCAGGCAGGAGCTCTCCTGCTGCAGCCAGACCACGGACAGGAACGGAGTCACAGCCACAGGCCGATGGGAGGGAAGGAAAGAGGGTCCAGCCCCTGCAAGGAGCAGAGCGCATCTTCCAGCCCCTGCGGCAGACGTGAGGGTTCCTCGGCACAGCAGGCACCTGTGCCCCACCTGCCGCACCAGGAGCTGGCTGCTCTGGCTGCTCCAGAGCCCGGGCACGTCGCTGGAGCCCTCCAGGTGGTGGGAGCCGTGGAGCACACATCTGAGGGGCTGTGTGTGCTCAGAAGGCTGCAGCCTGTGAGGTTAAGCACGTGTTTGTGGTGTGGAACCAGCTCTTCCCTGCTACCATGGGAGAGCAGGCACCGTGTGCCTTCTGCAGTCCTTTCCCCTTGCACGGAGCCTGTCAGTGGCAATTCTGATTATCGTGGCACTGTTTGGAAGCAATTATCTCTGTACATTGAAGTCCAAACCTTGTCCTGGTCCTGCTGTGCTTCCTGGGGCACGAGCATGGCAGCAGGCCTAGGAAGGGAGGGAGATATACAATGGAGTCACTGTGTATGGATGAAGGATGCTTTTCTCCCATCTCACCCAGAAGAACCCATCAGTGTCCCTTGAAAGGCAGTCCTGGCTGTGCCTTCCTACTGTGTTGGGCAAGGACTGATGGCCCTCGGGGAGAAGGTCACACCACAGTGCTGACTGAGGGGTCGGAGAGGTTGAGCTGGCCAGTTATGTCGGTGGGGTGATACTGCTGCAACACACAAATAGACAGACAAGGAGAAAGAAGTGTTAGGCAGTTCTGGCACTTGTCCCCGCTGCGACTTCCATCCCATGTGTCCCTACAGGATATCTCTTGGGGTGAAGCAACGCCCTGAGAGCTGCTGCTGGCTGAGGTCCCCTTCCCAGTGCCATCCATGCTTGTGAGAGGTCATTGCAGATGCTCTCCAAGCACCCTGGAGCTGGGCAGGGGGGACACCCAGGAGCATGGTGCAGCTTCTGCAGAGCGTGGCTGCCACGTCACCCGCTGAGCCAGGCCCTCTCTGCTCTGGGAGGGCTACAAAACAAAGCCTGTGACTCATCAGCCCAGCCCACGCCTGAACCTGTGTTTGGAGGGTCTGGCTGGGTTTTGGCACCTCTCTGGTGCCAGATCAAGCTGTGCTTTGAGGCCAGGGCATTTCACCTCCTTGCTTGAATGACCCTGCCTGTGACTACCTTTCATGCAGGTGAGATATGTGGTGTGGTTGACTTGTGATAAAGTGTGGCATTGATTGCTAATGTGAAAATAAATACAGCCTGTGTGGGGGATGTGGCCTGGATTTGGGGTTCTGAGCTCCTTGCAGATGGGAGGGCTTGGCATGGGAGAGCCCTCCCCTGCTGCAGTCCCATCAGCAAGTAGGGGGGAGAGCAGAAATTGCCATCAATGGGCAAGGAGAAAAAGTTCTTTCTCCCCAGGCAGGAATTTACAGCTGGGCAGTTATTTCCTCCCTTCCTCCTTCCATACTCTCTTCCTCTCCCATCTCCACTCTCCTGACTACAAACCCTGACCTGGAAGCCCTGTCCAGCCCTGCTGTAGGAGAGGGTGGCCCAGAGCATGCTGTGCTGCTCTCTGGGGTCCTAATTCTGTGCCAGGGCAGGAAAGGCTCTCTGTGGGTCTCATGCACTGCAGCACAGACCGTCTCCAGTGACATTTCCCAGCCCTTGCACCACCCTGCCCAGGAGGGCTGATGTTTTGAGGGGCTCCACGGGGGCTCCTCGGTGACAGATTTCACCTGTCCTGCTGTGGTCGATGGTGGCCGTGGCCTTCGCAGTGCTGCTGGCAGGTCTGGCACTGTGGCTACCCTGTGTGCTGCACACCCTGCCTCCTGCCACTCCCTGAGCCTTGCATGGGGTCCTTGGGGCTGTCCTGCCCAGCCCAGCTTTGTGCTTCACGGGACCCCTCAGTGGGAGCTGCTGGGGCAGGGCCAGGCTCCTGTCTCTGCAGCATCGTGCTGGGACGTGCTGACACCCAGGGAGCCTCTCATGGGATCACCTTGCCACTCAGGGCACTGGCTAAGATCCCAGTGGAGCCTCTGGGAATTCCTGGTTATGGCCTTGCCTTGCTAAGGGGCAACAGCTCGGCCATCACCCGTGGGCACAGAGAGCGGCCAAGGCCATCTTGATGTCACTCTGACACCCTGGGGGAGCTTTTTGTGGCTATTCATCAGCCCACCAAAAAGCATCCCTCTCTCCCAAAATCGAATGTAGCCACCCCCTCCTCGCGAAAACTTTGGATTCCAGCTCAATGCAGTGTTTCCATGGCAGAGCTGTTGGGAGGTGTGTGCTCATGGGATGGGGCTTCACTCCCGCAGGGAGGAGAGGTGACTGGGAAAGGGGAGAGGCTGGTGACTCACTGCTGGAGGAGAAGGAGGAACTGGAGATACAAAAATGAATGGGTAGAAGAAAGGTCCTTTGTTAAATATCCTGCCTGATGTGAGGGGAGTGGAAGCAGCGGAGTGTGCCTGTGTGAGTGTGTGTGCCTCGGTGCATGTGTACGTGTGGCTGCTGTGGTGGTGTAGCAGGGCAGGCTGGGGCCTTCTGGCCTCTCTGCACAGCTCTGGGGGTGGGAAACACTAAAACAACCAAGCGAAATGGGCAATCTGGCCAGAAAAATTAAAATACAAGAGCATGGCTTTTGATTTGAAAGCATATCTCCTCCAATCACAGAGTTATCACAGGGTAACATTCTCATTTACCTTTTTTTTTTTTGTGTAAAGTTCATGCATGCAATTTTTAATAATAAAAATTAAAATTAAAATAAAAAAGGAAAAGAAAAAAAAAAGCAAGAAAACGGTCATATCAAAACTATGTTAAAGTAGGACTAATGCTAGAAGCACATATCAGTAATTTAGGGTAAATTATGTTACAGGGATGGTGCAATAATCCCCAAACAAAACATTATAATGCTAAGAAATTAATCAATATTAACCGTAGAAGAGACTCAAACATGTTAAGGTATGGAAGTGAAGTGAAGGCACCAAAAACTTTAAATGACAACCAGGAAGAAAATATAGACAAGAACTTAATGTCTTTAAAAATGACTTCAACCTAACTGGGCTCATATGGTAGTCCCTGGCTGGTGGAAGATTTTCTGGAAGAATTCTGGTTTGTTGTTGTGGGTTTTTTTCAATTAAAAATTAGGATTCCAGCTAAATGCGATCTTGCTGTAGAAAATATCAACTTCCCTTTAGGGAAAAAAAAAAAAAAAAGTTGTCTTTGACCTGCTTTTGGTTCTTTTGGGCCAAAACCTAGGCTCTTTCTCAGCCAAGAAGCATTTGGCTTTGGGACAGATGATCCTTCACTGAAAAGGTGACCTTTTCCAGGTTCTCGCCCAGCTCTGGCACCATCCCCAGGGATGCCAGCGCCGGCCCTGGCAGGGCGGTGCCATGGGACTGTGTCAGCTGTGCCTGGGGTGGCAGTGTGGCTCTGCGGGGCAGGCGATGCGGGGGGCTAAGGGACCTGTGCACCTCCATACGTGTCTGTACGCAATGTGCCGGCTCGGAGGTGTCAGTGTGGTCTATGCGTCTCACATGGCGTCTGTGGGGTTGCAGTATCGTGGGTGGCTGCGATGGATGGCAACGTCAGCTCTGCCAGTGCTACTCGAGTTGCAGGAGCTGCCTATGGGGAACACATGCATCTCCTCCTGGGGCGGTGGGGATGATGTGCCGCGGAGAGGCTGTGCAGCTCGGGTGATGGTGGGCGCTAGGACGTTCAGAGTGGGGTGGAAGCTTCCCAGGGCTGTCTTGGCTCCATGGTGCCAGCCTGTCTCTCTGGCACTCCTGAGGGACCATTCTGCAGGGCTGCAGAGCAGAATCCATTTTTAAAACTCCCGACAACGGAAAGGAAAGAAGCAAGGCCACCAGGTCTGCATCTTTCGCTTGCTAGCCAGGAGAGCCCGTGGGGCTGGGTCAGCCCGGCCTTCCAGCCCCACGGGCTCTCCAGTCTTGCCCATCTAAGACCTGGTGTGGGCCCACAGCTCTGCTGAGCGTCATGAAACAGAGCACCTCGCTGCTTTCTCGTCTTTACAAGGACCCCAGGCAACGTGCCCCAGCATGCTATGGACTCATGGGGCCTTCCAGCAGGAGGGTGTTGGGGTCTCTGAGCCAGGGCTGTTGCACAGAAGTGGAGGGCACCAAGCACAGGCTGTGACAGGAGCTGGTGGCAGCACCCTGCTCCCGCTGGTTGCTCACCCTACAGAGCAACAGCAGGTATGCCCGACATCACCACAAAGCTCGCTCCTCCACGGACCTCCCGCAATAGCTGCTAGCCTTCAAGCTGGCTACATTGGCTTCGATGTTCATCCCATATAGCTGCTCTTGACCCAGCTAGCTCAGTTCCCTGGGGAATGTGTCCTGGGACCCTGGCCACAGCACCCCATGGCAGGCAGAGCACTGTGGCAGGCTTCTGAGCAGTTGAGAATAACTGATCATGCAGCTGCCCCCAAAGTGGGGACCATCTTCTGGAATGAGTGGGGTCATTGGGCCTCCACAATTTGCCCATGAACAATGTGCTGGGAAGAGCATGACCAGGACCCAAATATGGGGAGCCCCGTGCTGTGCTGGACCCAAGCGGGTGTGGGAAGGGGAGAGAACAGCTCCATTGCCCATCCATGGGACCTGTGGTGCAGGTGGGCCCTGGACCTGGTCAGCTCAGGGCATTGGGGTGCTTCTGGCATGGGGCAGAGAGGGCTGTGGGCTGGTTGGTGTAGGTTGCAAGCCACACCATGGAGCAGGATCAGGACCAGGATGCTTCTGTGAAGAAGGAGCAAGAAAGAGCAATGTGGGAGGTACCAGGGGTGCCACACACCAGCTGCCCCATTTTTCCTGGATTCTTCCCCTCTCCTCTGCTCACCGATGGCACTGGTTCCCCCAGGTGCCCAGGGCACCATCATGATGCTGCTCTCTCAGGACGGGACCCCTTGGTTTCCTAATCGTGGAGTCATTCAAACACAACAGAACATGGGGGTCTACTCAGCACATGCAGATATTTCTGCCAGTTTTTCTCACCCTCTTTTTTCTGTGCATTCCTCCTCACTCTTGCATCACCCACCCCATCTCTGTCTCCTCTGCCCTGGTAATGGCTCAGGCCACGAAGACACAACCTGTGACCTCCCTGCAGAGCTGCTCAGGAGGTGCAGCAGTGGGGAGAGGGGACCCCAGACATGGGGGCATTACTGGGACAAGATGACACCCAGGGAGCACAGAAGCAGCACAGGAGATGACAGGGATGCCTGTCCTCCCTGTGGGGTACAAAGGATGAGTGGGAAGAGTGTGGGTGTTCCCCCCATGACTTCCAGGCCTCGAGGTGACAGTGAGAGGAGCACTTTGTGTGAGATGGTGGCAATTGAGCCCGGCCGAGGGCTCAGCTGTCCCCAGGGCTGCGTTCCAGGAGTGCTCCAGGAGCTTCTTGGTATGGAGCCTGCGCTGGTGTCAAAGGCAGCCTCCTCCATTTCTCATACAGAGCCGTGGCCCCGAGACCCCCTGCGATAACACATGCTGTCCCCGAGGCGCCCAAGCCTGCGGTGGGGATGGGCCACCCCGCCACGGGGGCCACATCTCCCCGTGCTGCCACCGTCCCCCCGTCCCCACTGCGCCAGGGCAGCCTGGCAGGGACCTACTCTGAGCAGCCCTGGGCACAAACCCGCCGGTCGCCCCGGGGAGGGGATTTTGGCAAGCCCGTCGCGCTAGGAGGTCGGGCAGCAAAACGCAGCGGGCGCTGCCACACGAGACAACAGAGTAGCCACAGTGCAGAGTGTCATACAACAGACGGCGACATGCAGAAGGACACGGCTCAGTCCGACAGACCAACAGCCCAACCTGACGCTGAAGTGTCTGAAGCTCCAGCACGAGCAGACACATTTGCACATTTGGAAACAGCTGGCTTTAGAGGCAGCAATTTGGAAATTATCTCTGGTTATGTGAAAGCAGCAGAAAACACGAGTTTGAACCAAGGCTGGGTCTTTAACAACCTCTTCCTTGGAGCCTTTTCATCTCTTTTCTAGAGCTGCATTACTGCTGACGATAACCAGAGACAGCTGTCACTCCTGTGCGAGGACTATTCGGAATGCTAATTGTCACAAACAAAAATCACATGTAGAGAGTGTGACACGCATGGCTCTTGGTGAGGTGACACAGTGCCCAAATTAAATCGGGGTGATTGTTTTTAGGCATACAATGACAAACAGGTACAGGAACACTTAGGAACAGAAAAAAAAAAAAAAAAGAAAAAAAAAAGAAAAAAATGTCATCAGTTTCAAGAGGTCAGCACCGGTAAGGTGAGCGAAGCACAGAGAGGAACATCAGAAATCATCCAGGCAAAAAGAAAACAAAAAAACAAAACAAAAACTCGTTTTCATCTCCCAACTCATCACAGGACTCCAAGCCACCTCCTGCCTGCCCTCCAGGATCCCAGCATCCTTTCAGGTACACGGGATGACTGACTGACTGACTGACTGACTGGTGACGAACATGAGCTATGCATGTACACTGGCAGCTTCGGGATGGGTGTGTGGCAGTCAATGGGATGGCAGAAGAGAGAAAGAGAGAGAAAGAGAGAGGGCAGAATTGTTCTTCTTCCTCTTACCGTATCCTTGGAGGACCTACGTCTCTTGAAGCTGGAGGCCAGGGTGGAGGTGATGGACCTAAAAGTGGCTTTCTTTTTAGGGTCAGGTTCTGCTCTACCACTTTTTCTATCCTAAAATGAATATGTATAAGTAATTAGATCTCTAGTGTGTTGTTGGAAACTCTAAATCTATTTGAATACTGCCCCATGTCATGGCCTTCATTTAGGTGAGAAAGCTACTGGAGGTGTTCTGCCACTCCCAGTCCTCCAAGGGCCTCCGTGACCCACGGCTACGGCACAGCCACCACACTGCTACAGCTACGGGGGGCCGGCCTCGCATCTGGAGCGCTGGGAACCCCTCTGGGGAGTAGCCCTGCTCTCCTGGTGTCTGCAGCCAGGCCGGCACAGCTGACCTTGCTTCCTGGGGATGCTCTGCCTGGCGCCTTGCCCCTTGCTTCTACCGCTAGCCTGGCTGGACCGAGATGTGAGATGCTGCACCTATCACTAAAAAAAAAAATTGCTCAGGGCCTTTTCTGAGGCTGAATCCTAGTGCCACAAGAGAGAGAGAGGACTGCATTGAAAGAGAAGTCATTGTATGAATATTCTGTAAAAAAAATGTGTTCAAAAATTCAAATGATGCAGTTGTGCAAAGCCGAACGTGGTTGTTGGTGGTGGTTTGGTTTGTTTTCCAAAGTAAAACAGGCTAAAAAACAAAAAGGAAACTGGAAGAAAAAAGAAAAGTAAAAAAAAAAAAATACAAAGGAAAAGAAAGGGAGGAAGCAAAGCGTTAGTGCCATGATGTCGTCGGGTCGGGATGAACTCAAAGAGGAACAGAACTGAAAAATGTAGGCGTTGGAGTTAGCGAGTCGGACCTGGTTGGCGCAGGCTGGGAGCACCAGCCGCCATGGTGCGGGGGCCGCGGGCCGGGGGGCCCAGCCGCGCTCGGCGCCGGGCGCTGGCAGCGAGTCCTCCCCAATTGCTTTCGTGCCAATGAGTGTGACCTTTCCGACGGGGGACGGAGTGACCAGGTCTGGCTCTGCTACCGCACGGGGGTAACCAAAATGTATCCCGCTGGTGCGTAGAGCATGCTCGGGGATACATTTGCTCCTCCTTCTCAGTTCTCTCTTTTGCGGACATGCACAAACGGAAAGGAAAGCAAGATGAATGGAATGAAATGTCTTTTTCTTCCATGGCATCTCAGGAAATAGCCATGGCAAAACTGTGATCCCAAAAACCATTATTTTTGTTTGTTTGTTTTAACAAATAAATCTTTCCACTTGCCTACCTTCTAGCAATGTACCAGATACTAGTGCTCTGACGTTTCCTCCTGTGGAAAAGTCTTACAATGTCAAACGGCTCTTTACCATGAGGCTGTTTACCCCCACAGGGCAGCATGCTTTGCTCACAGTCCCACAGACTCTGCCCAAGGACCCAGTGCAGTATTTTCTAGAAGGTTGGCAAGTGAAAAATGGCAGTGCGACTAGTGTGCTCTGTCCCAGCAGCCTTAACCCCCTCGGTGCTGCTGCTTTTTGGAAGCAAAGGAAAAAAAAGGAAAAAAAGGAGAAAAAAAATTGAGAAATGGCTTTTCCGAGACTCTTTCCGGTGAACTGAACCCAGCGAGCTCTCAGGATACAGCAGCCCGGCCTCGTGCTCCCCTCACTGCTCTCGGGCAGTCGCTTCCACCCGGGCAGCCCCCCCACAGCCCCAGCCAGCGCTGCTCCCCGGGCCCTGGTGGGCTCCTCTCGGGGTCCCCAGCCTCCTCCTCTCTCTTTGTTTGCTGGCTGTGCTCCGAGAGGCAGTGTCCTTTAGTCACCTAAAGGAACTTTTGCTCTTGGAACGCCATTGTGCTTCCCCAAGGGAAAAAACAGCCCGGGCAACTCAGACAGCCTCCAGCTGCCCTACACTGGGATCAGGGGCACAGTGGGGCTCAGCCCTAAAAGCAGCAGGGGAAGGGAAGTGTGAGGCTGCTGGCCCACGGACGTGCCCATGGCTCAGTGTCACTGCCAGGCTCCTCTGACCCTCCTGGGCTTCCCTGCCTGAGTGACAGAGAGATGTTCCAGGAGTGGGAGGAGTCTGGGAGAGCAACAGCCCCATGAAAGGAGACCAAGGGAGCCTTGGCGCTGCCAGGGACCGGCACTGCTGCCTCCTGTGTGGGGAAATGTCCTTGTCTCCAAAGGACAAGAGCACGCACCACCTGTTTTTGGAGTCAGTCCTGGGTATGGCAAGGGCTACCATGCTGCTGCGGAGCAGGCAGAGAAGGGGAGGTGATGGAAACTATCCCTGGAGCATTCCTCCACCTGAGCACTGGGCAGGGATGGTCAGTGGCAGCGGGCTGACCTTCCCATCTGCTGGTGAGCGCGGCCGGAGCCGGGCAGCAGGGCAGACCCTGCAAAGGAGCCACGCTGACACTGCCTGCTCAGCCAGGCCAAGGTGTGGCTCTGGCACGTGGTCCCCAGCAGAGCAAAGTCCCCATCCCAAGCTCCACTGGGGGTGTTTGGGCCAGGCCTCTGCCCTGTTGGAGCTTTGCTGGGAGAGACAGCACCGGGCAGGGGCAGCTCCCGGGGAAAAGGCAGGGACACTACCCTACAGCTTAACAGTCACCCAGTAATGCCCAGCTGGAGCTACTGGGGGCGGGGTGGGGAACAGAGGGCCCCATGCTAATCCACAGCTCTGCATTCACTGATTTGGTGAAGGAATGGAAAACGCACCTGGTGGAGATTTGCTCTAAAAACGATTTGTCCTACCTGCAGGTTTTTCCTCCACACATTAACGGCCGCAAACGCCAGCTGCATCTGCTTCCTCCGCGCGTCCTTATGTCTTTTGTAAGCTATTTCTATGAATATTAAAAATATCCCGGCAACAATACCTCCAGCCACCAGCATAAACACACCTGAAATAAGCAGGAAAGTTACAGGGGGCAGTGGAAATTGCAACATGACCCCTCATTTCTTCTGCATCATGCTCGGTGACGGGAGCATCTGCCAACCCGGGGTCCCCCCGCCTTCTCCCTGCAGTCCTGGAGGGCCACAAGGGGAACACAGCCTGGACACCTGAGGGATGTCAGTGCCAGCTCTGGGGGGGCACAGGGCACTGAGTTGCAGCGATGCTGGGGACAGGCACGGCAAGCCCCAGGGCAGACCCCATCCCCAGGACTGTGGGGCTGTTTGCACCAGAACCCAGCTCTGGTGCCCCAGTTTGGCTCGTCAGGAAGCACAGCCACGCACAGAGCTCTGTGCTGCCCTTGGAGGCCTGCAGCCCTCGGGGCTGACATTTCTGGAGTGGTGTCTGAGGAGATGGAGCAGAATACCCCCTCTCTCCATTGCCCGTAACTCGGGCAGCAGTGCTGGTGAGGACGGGGTCCCATCGGACACCCCTCATCCCTCATTACTGCATTGTCTGGCTGTAGGACCAGCAGCACCACCTCAGTGCAAAGGGAGAGCCTATCTTGGGGTTCTCATGGTATTTGCAAGATGAAAACCCCTCTGTATCAATTATCCTTGTCCTGGCCCTGCCCAGGGCTCCTCAGGACTAGGGGGCTGCCCCTCACCTCCAGCCTCCTCCTGCAGCAGGGTTCTCACTCACATCCCCCAAGGTGCTGTTCTCCTCTCTGCATTGGTGACAGCGCTGACTGCACTGTGACAGCCACAGTTTGGCCAGGGCAGAGGGAGGGGAGCCATGCTCACACCACAGCAGCCCCAATGGCAAGGGCACTCAGGGAAGGTGGGGTAAGCTTTGTGGAACAGTTCTGAACAAGGTGGGAATGGAGCCCATCTCAGCAGCCTTCCAGCACTAGGAAAGCACAAATCCAGAAGCAGCAGAGATTTGGCCTGAGAGGAGAGCCCCAGAGAGGAGAATGTCTTGAGCAAAAGCGGGTTACCCAGTGAAGGGAGAGAAAGAGGTTTGCAGAACAAACCTGCCATATTTTCAAAGGTGAGTGTTGCTGGGGCATTGCTACGGGAATCACACTCTTGATACCTCACCCAAGTCTTGTCCAAATCCTCCATGAAGCCATTCTCGTGGGACCTGGAAGCACAAGGAGACAGGACAGGGTAGTCACTGGGGACCAGCCACAGGCAGCTGGGGCACACACTCTGCCTCCATCCTAGGACTCTGCGCTGCCTGAAGCCGCCAGCACAGGAACCAAGGATGTGCTGGCTGTGTGTGCACACCTGTGCACGTGTGGCCTTTGCACAGAGTGAGGGTGGGCTGTCTGCAGGGGCTGCCAGCACTGTGTGGTCACACACACACACAGAGCCCTGCACAGTGCAGTGCTGTAAGCAGGCACCCACAGCACCCCCTGCCACTGCCCCTGCGGCGCCTTGGCGGCAGCACCTACCAAAAGAGCCACATATAAGCCATGGGGAAGGTGTGTTTCCAAGGAAGGATGGAGCTGGCAGTGCTCCAAGAGCTCTTGGAGAAGGCTGCAGGGAGTGGACATGAACCACATCTCCCAGTTCCCTCCTGCACAGCTCCTCTGCCTGCCAGGGCCACTTGGAGCTCAGGCAATGATGGACCCCAGTCCTTCCTGGTGACCCCCAGCACCCTCTAGGTCAGAGCACTGCCATCTGGCAGCTCCCTGTGGTGCACAGTGAGGGCTGGGACACACCAGCAGCTTGGTGTCACAGCTTGGTGTCACAGCTGTGTCCTCACAGCACCCATTTCTGCCTGAGCAGGTTGTGGGGATGGTGTGGGCACAGAGCACACATCTCACCACAGGCTCCCTGCACTTTCCTCCCTCTTGTTCCTGGTACACCCCCACCACCTTCCTGTAGTCCTGGGCTTCCTCATCCTTTCCCAGAAGGACACTGAGGACTCCTGTGGCCTTGTCAGGCTTCTTACGTGGTTCTCCCAAATCCCATCTGCCCTGCTGCCACCCATCGCTGTGTTGAGACCATTCCACAGACGGGGTCCATGGCTCCCTACATCACCCTGGGTCTTGCCCATCTTCCACATCCTGCCCATTCTCTCTCAGGCCTTTTACCTCCACATATTGGGCAGGACCCTGGTGGTGTCTCTCCTAAAATGAATCTCCCAGGGCTCCCTCCCTTCACTTGCTGCTTCCCATCTGCCTGTTCCTCCATCATGACATTTCTCTGCCTGCAAAGAGTGTGGCATTTCCAAAGTAATACAAGGAAATCCCTTTTCACCCACAATATCAGTCTGACTTGTGACACCCCACACTGCAGGTTAGTGCTGGTGTAAAAGCCTTGGACTCAGAGGGGGTCCTGACATATCCCTGTGTAACAGGATTAGCCAGAGTTGAAAGAAAAAAATCCCTGGATGACCAAGCCAGGGCAGTGCAATGTTGTTGGACAGGCTGAGCCCTGAGGGAGGAGTGGAGAGATGGCAGCACCCACACCCTGCTCACATAAACCTGTGATGGATGGCTCCTGCTGCTCTCTGCCACCTTTGCCTACACCCCTGGCTGACCATGACTCTGCTCCTTGCCCTGCTCTGCCCTCCCTCCAGTCCCCTGCTGCTTTCCCAGCCCTGAGAGCCACAGCTGAGGCTATGGGTGCCCACCCCAGTCACTCAATGTCCCCTTTGTCAGGATGGAAGGGCACCCCAGCACCCCTGTCCCTGAGAGGTCTGGAGTGTGGCTGGCAGTGCCTGGCACATGCAGCATTTGGGGCGAGCCCCACGCCAAGAGCCGTGTACGGACTTGAGGATGGCCAGGGAGACGTTCTGCTTCCAGGGGCTGTCCTTGCGCATCCCGATCCCGAAGCCGGAGCGGAAGAAGAGCTCCCCTGTGGTCACCAGGTCACACTTCTGGGAGGCCTCGAACTCCAGCACTGCCGAGTCCCAGATGAAGGCGTGGAGCTTGCTGGACACAGAGGGAGGATGGACGGGTCAGGCTGGGCAGCCCAGCTTGTCTGCAGCCTCTGTGGGAGCATCGAGGCTGCTCCCAGCTCTAATTTAAACACCAAAGTCACCCACCCTTGCACTGAAAGAAGAAAAGGGGCCATAAAGGGACGCCATGGCCAGGGCTCTCACTGTGCCATCCCCCACACAGACCTTGTGCTCCCCACCCAGAGACCTGGGATGCACCAGGACTGGACAGATCCCACCCAGCCCCAGCTTGGAGCTCCCATCAAGCCATACTGTGACCACATCTCTCTCCAGCTTTGCCCTTGCTCCACCCAACTGCAGCTCCCTGAAGCCCTTCCCAGCGTGGCCAGGCAAGGTGCTGGCCCTACTCACTTGTCCCTCACTGCCTGGATGGCTTCGGCAGCGCTCTCGTAGTTGTGCTTCTCCATGTGCCTGTACATGGTGCTCAGCTCCACCTGCCGTCGGAAGTAGATGTCCACAGAGCTCTGCTTCACCGTGGCGTAGATGAACTTATCCGAGGGGTTGCGCAGCTGAAAGGCAAGGCTCCTATTTTTTTCTGTCCTTCACTAACAAAACTTTCTCACCCCAAGCTGTTTCCTCTCCCATTTCCCATCTCCTTCAGGGACCTATTCCCTGAAGAATATTCCCTAGAGAATACCTTGATCTCCTCAGAGGATGCCACGGGGCAGTGAATGCTCTGAGACCATGGTGCTGGGACAGGGGGTGCTATGGGACAGGGACACGATGGCACTGAGGGTGCAGGACGCCTGTGGATGCCATGGGGCTGGGCTCACACAGGGTGTGGGATGCTGTGGGTCAGTGATGCTGCAGGGCACATTCCTGCGTGCCTGGCCTGATGAGCTGTGGCTGTGTCCTTGCCAGAGCAGGAAATGGATTTCAGGCATGTGGAGAGTATTGACTACACCGCAGGGACGATTTCATTAGTTATAACTCATCCATAATGAATCGTTTCCTCGTTGATGAGAGGAGGCTCTCCAGGAACTGGCAGGCACTTTGACTGCAGAGAGGCTATTTCTGCACAGGTTGTTTTCCTGCTGATCCCTGCCCACGTCTGTCCATTCCCACCCAGGGCAGGGGCTCAGACTCATCAGCACTAGCCCAGGCAGAGCTCCCTGGGTCTGGCCCCACCAGCACAGATCACAGCCGTGGTGAATCAGGGCTCTGGGAACCACAAGCCATGTTATATGCCCCAGGGAAGTGGAAAGCAAGCGAGGGGTCATTACCCGAGGGTCATTAATGCCTGTGATCCTCTCCTCAGGTCGGTCTAACACCAGGAAGGCTGCCAGGTTGGCAGTGTATGAAGCCACAATGATCATAGCAAAGCCAGCCCACACCATGCCAAGGATACGGGCAGAGAAACTCCGGGGAGCACCTGCAGAGAGAGAGGAGAGATCAGAGTGGCACCACGAGGACTTGGTTTGGTTGCCAAAGCTGAGTCAATCCACATGAGCCCAATGGCAGCTGCACATGTGCACCATCTATCTGCTCTGCCAGCAGCTGTGCAAGGAGCTTCTGCATTGCCCAAACAAACAAAAAAAAAACAACCTCCAGCTCCTTCCAGGGCATGCTGTGTGCCACCCTGAGAGGGTGGGTAACCCTGGGCAGGGGATCCAGCCCAAGTTTCCCTGCTCTGTTTCCCATCCCCGGTGCTGGGGTGGCAGGACAGCCCTGACAGCTGCCACAAATGTGCAACACTCAGCATCACCAAATCTCCTATCAGCCTGCTCCAGGGAGGGCTCAGGGAATGAGGTCCCACAGGGACCTGGTGAGAGTGGGAGGCTGTAGAAGAGGGCAGGGGCTTCGCCCCAGCCTGCCCAGCTCAGAGTCTGGGCTGCAGGGCAGAGCAGTCCTGCTGTGAGCTGTCACTCACCTTCTCCAATGCCAGAGTTCAGCAGGACTCCCCAGGAGAACCACATGGCTGAGGAGAGAGTCAGAGCATCTTCCTCCTCCTCCTCACTATTTACTTTGAACCGGCCAAATGGGCTGGAAAACAAGAGGAGAACCCTTCTCATTCCCCTTACTCTGATTCCCAGGGCTCCCCACTGTGTCCTACGTGTCCTAGTGCAGCCCTGTGTCACTCATTCCTACAGATTGTGCTTTGTCCCAGGCAGCTCTGTCCCACTGCCTGGCAAACCCCTGTGCTGACCTGCAGCCCTGTCTGGCTCACACTGGTACTGGTTCCATCACACTCTCTCCAGACCAGAAAGATCATCTGACCCTGGCCAGCTCAAGCCTCTCCCACTGCAACACAGAGGGCTCCCTGCAGATTAGCCATCAAAGCCTCTGGGCACAGGGCTGAGGCAGGGACAGGTTCTCTTGCCCTCAGAGGAGCTGCCACAGGGCCAAGGAAGGCTGAGAGGAAATTCTCTCAGAGCCCAGAAGCTCTGTCAGTCCCCTTGTCCAGGTATCTGAACAGCACCTGGTCTGACAGATGTGTTTCCACATCCCCACATGCCAGGTACCCCACATATCCATATCCCTTATCTTAGGCAGCCAGAGGGGCCAGGAGCCTCAGCCCAGGGATGGTGGGGCAGAGCAAGTGGGTTAAGTCCCTGTGAGAGACCCCAAAGGGCTGCAAGACTGTGCCCAAGCAAGGGACCCAGGGGACAGTTCCCAGGAGCACCTCCCTCTCCCCTCCAGATCTTGAGTGGCCCAGAATGCACTCACCTGAATCGGTCTAAGAGGTACAACATCACTGCCACCACATGCACTGACAGCCCCACCAGCAGCCAGAGCGTGCTCTGGAAGGGCTGCATGAACGAATCCAGGGTACTGCGGGGGATTTCCTGCACAAAGGAGAGACGAGAACAGTGCTGGCAACCCCCACACCTGCACCCTGCCCTCCTGGACCCAGAGGGGCCCTGCCCTGCCCCAAGCTCCTGCTGCTCAGCTACTCAGGAAGGGTCAGGTTGGTGCAGACAAGAGCCTGCACCAAAACCAGCAGCCTGGAGGCTGGAATTTGCAGGGGCTGCACTGGGCATGGTGCAATCTGGGGAACGGGCACCTCCTGTGTTCTACAAAACATCCCACCCAGACCACACCTTCTTCACGAGGATGGTGAGGCCCTGGTACTTGAAGGGCTTGGAGAACTCGATGTACTGAGCCCGCTCGTTGTTGATGGTGAGGGGAGCCACAATCATGTCTGCTTGGCCGCTCAGCAGCTCCCCCATCATCCCATTCCACTCCTTCTTGTTGCTGTTGTTCACCTGCCAGGAAGCCAAGGCCGCGTCAGACCCCTGCCCTGACACACATCCCCCACCAGCCAGGACCCTGCACTTTTTAGAAATCCTGCATTGCCCTTCCACCCCACCCTGCTCAGGAGAAGGGCGTGGGGGTGTTTTAACACGCAATACACGCAAAGAAAGATCACAGGCTGCTCAAACTCACCCGCTCTTGGGTACCAAATTTACCATCAGCCACCAGGTGAACCTCATAGGTGAAGTTCATCACCCCTGCCAGGCGGATGAGAAGGTCGATGCAGAAGCCGTAGCAGCACAGTGCCACGGTGGGACGGCCTGGGGGAGGGACAGAACGGCCATGAGCGGGCAGCCCTTGGCCAGGGACCCCACACAGGATCCGTGCCTGTCCCCAGAGAGAGCAGCCACCCCACGGCTCTGGCTCCATGTGGGATGTAACCACGTTATCCTTCAGTGCCATCTGCCTGACCACCGTCTGTCACTGCCTGCATCACCTGTGGGTGTTGGCAGGCTGGGGACAAAGGGGTCCCGTTCCTTTGCCATGTCCCAGTGAGGTGGGCTGAGAGGGGGTGCTACCCACCCACTGCAGGGCAAGGAGAGGGCTCGGTGCATGTGCTGGAGGAGTCCTGGCATGAGCCCAGCAGGCTGAACACAGCCCAGGACACCACTCTGGGGGGAAGTTGTGCAAGGAAGGTGATGAGCCAAGGGGATGCCCTTTAGGTGGATCTGGGCAAGCCTGGCATTGCTGAGCAGCTCCCACCTCACCCCAGGTGCTCACTCCTGATCCTGACACAGGTTTCTGGGACAGTTTGAAACTGGTGCTGTGTCAGTGCAGCATGTGCTAATGTGCCTCGGGGTCCTTGCTGCTGCAGGAGATTAAGGCAGAGAGAATTGGAACATGTCAGGAGATAGAAACTTGGGATGCAATCCCTCAAAGCTGCCCTGGTGCCCATCCAGAAGAGAGACAGTGGGAAAGAATCTGTTGGGCTCAAACCCCTGGATTCGAGGGCCCAACTCCTGCACAACACTGCTGTGAGGCTGAGCTGATGGGGGGATGTCTGGAGGCCAGCTGTGCTGTCACCTCTCTGTGCCTCATCCTCTGGGCCTCCTGTATGACTGAGTACCCTCCTTGGGACCCCTTCTTGGAGCAGGAGTCCCCAGCAGACCGAGTTACCTGGGATGGTCTCATTGGGTCCAGTGCAGAAGACCTTTTTGACAGGATCTCCATTGATGGTGAATTCCTCCCTGCAGGTCCCATCTGCCTGAGTGGGCTTCACATACACAAAGGGCTCTTGGTGGATGGTCACAATCTGTGAGGTGAAGCACAAACACCCTCTGGTCTGTGTTTCCCTCCAGAGCTGCATTCCTGTGGCAGGAGCTGGGCTGCCCTCCCCACATGAACCGTGTGCCCTCCCCAGCTGCCATCTCAGCCCAGCAGAAGGACCTGGCCTTGGCATCAGAGAATTTGGGAATCAGAGAATCAGAGAATCAGAGAATCCTCTAAGCTGGAAAAGACGTTTAAGATAATGAAATCCAGCCGTTAATGCAGCATTAGAACACTCCTGCACCCAAGGTGAGGAGTGTCCTCCTTCATACGGCACTTTCACCTGAGCCTCAAAATCTCTTTCCTGAACAGGAGACTGATGGGAAACACCACACAGTCAGAACTAGTTCCTGGAAAGGGGCTCTAGACACTGTCACACTGCCTCAAGTTAATGCAGGTGTTTCAGTCCTGCCCTGGACCTTTCAGTCAAGCAGCAATCGCAATGTACCCATAGCACCTCTGTGGGGACAAGGGCTCACTGCCAGTGGGAATGGGATTTCCCTTGCTGGACAAATGAACAGTAGGAAAAATGAATGGCCATGTTGGTAAGATCAGCCTGGCCAGGATCCAGTCACTAAAGTGGGATCCAGTCACTAAAGGGGGATCCAGTAACTAAAGGGGGATACAGTCACTAAAGAGGGATACAGTCACTAAAGAGGCTGCTGAATGACACTTAAAGGAAGAGCATGAGAAGCAAAGCAAGACTGGAGGGACCTTCTGCCAGTGTTACCTCCATCTTCTGGCCATCAGTTCCTCAGGGATTTCCTGAGTTCAGCCTTGCAGCCACCAATCCATCCACCCTCTACCAGAGGGTTTAATCACCTTTTGAATCTGTTCCCACCTGGTCTCTGCACTGTCTATCAGAGCTGAACCATGCCCTGGCCAAAAGAGCCCATCCTTGTATTTCTTGAAAATCTGTGGCAGGTGTCCTCTGGCTTCCATGAGAACACCTTGTCCCTCTACCCCTTCTATACTGTTTTCTTTCATATCCATTTCCCACCTGTCTCTTTCCAAACCCAAGGATGCCCCTATCTAGATTGACTCCAGCTGGAAGTTGTGCTCTGAACACAGCCTTGCAAATGCTGCTGCCAGGTGCAGAGCAGCTGTGGAGGTGAAAGGCAGATGAAGTCACTGCCCGGCTCGCAGAGAGCTGAGAAGCCTGCCCATAGTTCCATTTGCTCTTACCTTCAACTTGGTTGACATCTGATAGCCTTGAGGTTTCTCGGTTTCCCCCCCTGGCCAGATGATCTTCCTGTCGTTGGTCAGTACCTGCAATGGATCCCGGAGGAAGCAGATGGACATGAGGCCAAGGTGGACACCCCAGTGCCCAACCCCTCCTTCCCCAGTGCAGGCCTGCACGTACATTGCTGCCGTTGTAAATCCCAACCTGGACCAGTTTCCGGTTCTGCAGGTTCATGATGCTGTAGTTGGCAAACTTCCTGTCCCCGTCCTCGTTGAACTCTACCCGGCCGGTGACACCCTCTGAGTACTTGGAGGACATCAACACCCTATGGAGAGAAACACTGCTGGGACACCTAGAACACCTGCTGTGCTATTGAGACACCTCCCAAGGCATCTGAAAGGCAAATGCTTCCTCTCAGTTACCTGCCATAAGCTCACTACCCTGCAGAAGTCTAGCCAAGGTTACCTGTGGCCTGTTAATAGGCCTGTGCTCATCCCCTCCTAGTGGATGGAATCAGGAGAATGTTCTCTACCATCTATTTTGTCACTGCCCCTTGTTCTCCACCAGATCAGTCCCACTCCTTCTGGAATGATCTGTCCCACAACACCCAAGGACATTTTCTTCTGGGGGTTCCCTGCGAGATGTGCCTATGCTACATCTTTGGTTCTGTGCCTGGCACCTGCCCATCCCAGCCTGGCTAGAGGCCCAGACACACACAGACACCACCACGGAGAGAACCAGCCCCCAAACCCTGGAAAGGTGATAGTGGAGATGAACAAGGATTGCCTGAGCTACTTGTGAAGAACAGCTTTGACTCGCTCATGCCAAAGACTGTCACTGCAGGGGATGCCAGAAATGCTTCTAAAACAATCTCCAGGCTTTGCAGGTCTCATGCACAACAGAACCCGGGTCTGCAGGGAGTGGCTGCTGCTCCAAGGCACAGCCCCTCTGGCTCCAGCATCTGCAGTGATGCAGGGATTGGGGTCTGAAGCACATGCAGGACCTGCCGATCCCCCCGCCCTGGCAGCAGGACCCCACAGGCACATGCTCCCATCTGTGACGCCCCAGCTTCCAAATCCACAGCACCAGGGTTTGCTACAGCCAAGGGGAACCTGCTCCATGCATGGACATCTCTTGCCACCAAGCCCTGCTTGCAGTGCTGGACCCATGCCCCAGCCCTTGGAATATTCAGCAGGAAACATGTCCGCAGCACTGAGATAAAATGGGACAGAAATATCCCCCTAGCTTGATTTGGCAGAAGCCCCACTCTCTCCCACTTCCACCTATGGAATTAAGCTCCAGACTGGAGGAGACCATGGTCCCCAATCTTTTCCTCCTAGAGTCATTCTGGCCCACACATCCCAGCTGTCTAAGCATTGCCCAGTGTAGCATGGGTTGACATGGACTGAATTGCTGCCAGGCACCAGATTGATGCCTAAACAGCCTGGAAAAACTGGGTGTCATTTCCTGAGTCTGTGTCTGGGAGAGTTTTCTAGGAGAGATGTAGCCCTCACATCCAAATCATGCAGGAGAGTCCAGGCAGCCCTGTGCCACATGCCCCAAAGATTTAGTGACAGATACCCTGAGCAAAGCCACCATGTCCCCTGCACCTTCAACACATGCTCCCACCTTTTCCAGCTCTCCCCCACCAGGTCCTCTGCTCCCTCCAGCAGGATCCTTTCCCCAATACCTCTTAAAAAGGGGTCCTGTCTTCCAGATGTTGGTGTTGCCCACACAGCCCCGCGGTGGATCTGTGATATTCTCCTTCTCAAACAAGTCGTGCACGGCCTGGGCCACCACGGCCACAGCGTCACTGATGTGGGCTGACTCGTTCTTGCCATTGATGAGCTGCAAACCGATCACTCCTGCCGCGGGCAGAGGGGAACCGGGTCAGCATTCCTGGCATCGCTGGCTGCTCCAGCGTTACTCTGGGGACAGCGAGCACAAGGCTACGGGCTGAGGATCCCTTGGATGCAGCGGGAAGTTGCCTGAGCTTCAGGCAGGGGCACCGTGCGGCCGGGCTGGCACCGTGCGGCACTGACACCCTGAGCTCTGTGCCCACGGCCCTGCCCAAGCCTCCCCTGGGGTGACAGCAGCTCGCAAAGCCGCAGTGACACGGATTTGGGACTCGAGGATTTGGGACTCGAGGATTTGGGACTCAAGGCTGAGTCCCCGCGCAGGCGAAGGGAGCGGAGAGCGGAGTGCGGGAGCCTCCGTTCGGGACCACCACGGCGCCCCCAGCGTGCCCCAGCCCGAGGGGTCCCGGGGCGGGCAGGGGCCGCTCATCCCGGCTCCCTCGGGCTCCTCCGAGCCCGACTGCAGCGGCACGGAGCTCGGGAGGTGCCTACCGTCCGGGGCGTAGCGCAGGGCATTGCCCGAGATCTCCCGCTCCCCCACCAGCCACACGTAGCCCGAGCCCGTCATGTTGAGCACGGCTGCTGATCTGTACACGGTGGCCGCGTCATCCTCGCTGCAACGACAGGAAGGGAACGGCGATGTGGCACCCGCTGCCAGTGGCCCCGTGGTCAGACCCCAAAGGTGTGGCAGTGCCAGGGAAGGCACCATAGCGGGTGACTCTGACTGGGCTTGGCTCAATCCTGGATGCCATGGGAACTTTGCTCTCAGCTTCACCCGATGCCGCAGCTCGCAGCGCTGCTGAGCACCCGCACTTGTGCCGGAGGCACGGGGCCATCGGGCTCCCCTCCTTCCCGGCTGGAGCAGGACACCCCGGCCAGCTCGGGACTGTGGCTCCCTGGCCAGCAGCACTCCCAGAACCCCCCACCTGCCCGGGACAGGGGGCTTCGGCTGGGGCTGCTCTCAGGCTCCTCGGGAGGTTGTCAGACCCCAAATCCACACTGACTGCAGCGCTGGGCAGTGCTGGGAGAGAGGAAATCAGAGCAGGGAGGGGAAGGGGCAGCACGGCCTCACCTGGCAGAGAGGATGATGACCCTGGCCTCCAGCTCCTTCGCCTCCAGCAGCAGCGACGTCACATTTTTGGTTCCAGGGTCAAACTGAAGCACTTTCTCAGCCTGTGATTAGTGTGAGCAAAGCTGGTTAGTGAGTGAGCCCCAGAACTGGTGGTGAGAGCCATGCTATCTAGAAAAGGGTCAAGAGAATTCATTAAACTGCACAAAAGTCTGCTAAATAAGGTTGGTTATAGTTATTTTTTTTCTTTTTCTTTTCTTTCTTTCTTTCTTTTTTTCTTTTCTTTCTTTCCTTCCTTCCTTTCTCTTTTAAGATTTTGGCTTTTTGGTTGTATTTTTTTTTTTTTTTAATTTTTTTTTTTTTTTTTTTTTTTTTTTTTGCACTGTGCATGCAAACTGAAGTCAATCAAGACCCAAAAAGAGGCGTGCATTGTACAGGAAAGAGAAAAAGGCTTTGAAATGCAATTGAAAACTCAAACGAGTGTTGTTTTTCAAAAACATGGGAAATGAAAAAAAACATATTGCACAGGGTTAACCTTTGGGAATCAAAGTGAGCAACTTACACCAAGGAACCGGTTCCTTTGGGGAGGAAAGGGGGTTGGTTCAACTTTTCAAAAAAAAAAAAAAAGAACTTGCAAGTTAATTACTGGTTCACATGCATGTTTCAAAAAGAAATCCTTCCAGGGTCAGCTGGCTAAGTTTCCATTCTCAAGTCCAAACCAAACTATCTCAACATAAAAACGTGCTACCAAGAAACACAGTCATGGATTTTTTTTTCTTTCTTTCTTTTCTTTTCTTTTTTTCTCTTTCTCTCTTTTTTTTTTTTTTTCTTTTTTATTTTTCTGTTGGCTGTGGCTATTTTTCATTTGCTAGTTAGGTTGGTGGGCGGCGTGCATTTCCATGCATATATACCTTGGGTCCTCGCTTGTTGTCATAGGAAAGTTGGTCGAGGTTTTCATAGTTCCTTTTTTTACTCTGATGAATAATGTGCACAGAGAAAATATGTAGACACAGAAGAATATTATAAACAGTTGAAAATGACGTGTAGTAAAGCAATCCAACATCCACCTCCTCCTCCACTGTTTGCTAAAGGGTCTCTATAACGCTGGAGCTCGCAAAAACCACTATCAGGAGAGATTGTGCCTCAGCTCTCACGGGAGCGTCACGGAGCAATCTGAGAGCAAAGCCTGAGTGTCACAGCTGGTGCGATGCAGTTGCATTTTCCCTTGAGGGACTGGGGAATTCTTCAGCAAGGAATTTTTATCTTAAGCTCAGAAACAATCTAAGGGCCTAAGTGGTGGGGTTTCCATGGAATTACTGTGGAAGTAAAGGACAAAATGTTGTGTACTGAAAGTGCTGGATAAAGGCAAACTGTTACAGTTAAGAGTACTAGCATTACTAGCATCACTATCAGCATTACAATCCTGTCCACCCTTAGAGAGTCCACACAAAGTGAGGTGTCTCAGCTGAACCTCTCACCCCCTGAGAGGAGGGAGCAGCTTTTTGAGCTCTGTTGACATCCAAAAGAGAAAGATAAAGTTCTCTACATCCCGTGTTGGCTCAAAGCATGGCGATATGAAGCAATGGTGAACATGGGATGACATTGCAGCTTTTACCTGGTCCCTGGGGAGGGCCCAGGGCACCTCATGGCTCTGCAGCACACGGGTGGCCCTGGGAGGTGCAGCTACCAGAGACCAGGGTGCCTGTAACCTGGCCCTAAATGCGGCTAGTGGGGCTTACTGCTTGGTGGTCTCCATGCTGCTGACTGGAGCATGTCACCAGGGCTTGGGGCATGCACTGGCCCCAGAGAGATGGGACTGGAGCAGGGATCCTGCTCCTGTCCTGCTCTGACCCTGGAGAGATTGGACTGGAGCACAGATCCTGCTCATCCCCTGCTCTGACCATGGAGAGATTGGACTGGAGATCCTGCTGCTCCCCTGTTCTGCTGCCTCAGCTGCTGCTGCTGGGCCCCAGAGGAGCCTGGAGCAGGGCACCACTGCTGGAGGTTTTCTCTCAAGCTGAGGGCCCACAGCCCCTGCTCTGAGCCCTGACCCTGCACAGAGCCCTGGGACCTTCCTGTGGCCAGGCCAATAACAGTGATCTGAGGGAGCCTTCAGGAGGGGGCTTGGAGGTTTTGGTGGGACATAGTCTGACATCTTCTCCTTGACCCCCCCCCCCATCTGAGCATCCCTGATCGGTGTACATGGGGTGTGGGATGCTGCTCTACTCTCATCTCCATTTTTCCAGAGCCTGATGGCAATGGATCCCTGCCAGGAACCCGATCCTTTGCACCCCTGGTGCACAGGGGTCCATGTTCCCAGGTTGTTCCTCAGACCGACAGGTTTCTCTTCATCTTGCTTTCCAAACTACTTAGCTTGCTTTTTCCTGAGCATCCAGGCCAGTCTTTAGCAGGGCATCTTTCCAGGTCTCCTTTCTATGCAGCTGTGTGATCTTTCCTTTCTTCCCCTTGGACGCAGCCCAGCAGTTTTTCATTGCTCAAAGAAATTGGGACCTGGCAAGGAAAAGCATCTGAAGAGGAAAATCTGCTTGGATCCCAGGTCCACCTTCATTTCTGATGGCCTTCATTTCTGCAGTGGCTTCTTAGTGGCCTGTGCTGGGCCTGCAATGAGCCCTGGAGTGATGACTGCTACAAGGAGACCAGAGATGCAGCAGGAATGTTCTCCAGTTCAGGCAACACTGGTCACTTCTCTCCAAGCACTGTCAATGTAGCCAAAAACTTGGACATCCATGCTGTAGCCTCCAACCAGAAATTCCTGGGATTTGCTGGCACCTCAGCCCAGGCTGGTCAGCAGAGTCTTGGGAGCAACAAGGCTGGCCTCTGATCACCTCTCCCTGTCACTAGCTCTGTTTCCAGAACTACACTAGTAATCCTCCTTTTCCCATTTTTCCATGTGGTCCTGCAGCCCTTCTCTGATCTCCACGTTTCACACAGGGACCAACAAATCACAAGTTCCCTTTCCACCATGTGCTCCTGCATTCACTTACAGAATTGCCACTTTCGTGAGAAATTGCCGTTGTCCCAGAGAAAAGCAGGCAGCAGAGCAGGGACCTGCCACCTCTGAGCCAGAGCAGCTCTGTTTTCACAGTGTCCAGCACTGCCTTCAGAGCCCCAGCAGGCCCATGGAGCAGCAGAGCTGTGCTGGGTGGAGCAGCAGCTCCAGGCTGAGAGTGGCTGCAGACAGCCCCAGGACAAGGCCAGCACATGGGACACTGCAGGGCTGCCTGAGAGCTGGGCTCAGGGTGCTGCTGGAGGTGCAGACCCACACAGTGGTGCCTGCATGGCACAGGGGCTGGCCATGACCCAAACCAAGAGCTTAGCTGGGCAGGTCAGGTTCTGACCCTGAGCAGGACCTCCATGTCCTCAGGGGCTGCAGTCTAAGCCTTGAATAGGTCAGGATTAGGTGTCCTGCCTGCTCCCTCCCCAGGGCCCAGGCTGCCCTTGGAGAGGCTGGGGAGGGGCCCGTGGTACAACTTCATGGCATGAAAAGAACCAGCACTTCAGGGATCAGAAGAGATTGGAGAGAAGAGGTGGAGGAAGACAGGAAAGCCCCAACAGGGTATCTGCCACCTGCAAGACCAGTCAGACCAGTCTGTCTGACCTTTTCTCAAAGGAAAAAGAAACAAGATGCAGTGGCACACCCCAAAGAGAAGACCTGCTGGGACAGAGCAGGTGCCCCAGGCTGCAGAGTGGCCCGAGCATTCCCCAGGGGCTGCCAGAGGACACCAAGACACATAGTAAATGAAGTGCAAATATGGGGAAGGTCTGAGGACAGAACCTCCCTCCCTATCTTTCAAGCTCTCAAAGGCTTTCCTGCAGGGTGGACAGGCTGAAGAAGAAATGCACCCTGTGCCTGGGAGCACCCCATGGGGCAAACAGGAGTGGAGGCATGAGAGGGAACAGCAAAATGGGATACATGGGAACTACAGGAAAACAGAAAGTGGAATCCAAAAAATACAAGAGGAGGTATGAGAGACTGACAATGGCTCTCCCTGTATGAAGGGCACTGTGCTGGGAAGAGGCTTTGGAGAAAAACACTGTCCTGCTGTCACCCAGTGGGAAGCTGCCTTTGGAAACGGGAGGATCCCTCTGTGGCTGGTGGAACATCAGTGCCTTGTGACAGCCTGGGATGCAGCAAGGATGAAACTTCTTGAAAATCAATACCAAATCTGGAGTCTGTTGGTCAATGTGGCTTGTGCCAGCCTGCACCTCTGCACCAGTTGTTCCTCCAGGGAAGTGATGAAGAGCAGTCACAGGCGCCCATCTCTCAGCTCAGCCACCCACTCCAACCACGAGAAGCATCTATGGCCACATCTCCTCGACAGCTGAGAGACTGCCAAATGTCCAGCAGCTGCAGATGGGGCTGGAAAGAGCAGGCTGGGGTCCCTGCCTGTGACCCAGGAAGGAACACCCCCGAATGGGTGCCTGCCCTGATGCTGCTAGAGACTTGGATGAACTCAGCTTCTGCCCACCTGAAGGGGACCTTGCTCTGCCCCTGGAGAGAGGTCATGCTGGGACTCCACCCTGTAGGACAGGAAGTGGCTCCTTGCCTTCCAGACTGTAGCCAAACAGCTTCCTTTGCTCTGCTTGTCTTGAACATTTGTTCAGTCCTTTCCCTCCACGCCACAGGTCTGTGCTTTGTCCTCCCACACCTCGGGGCCCTCCCCTGCCTCCCTCCCTGCTCCCACTGGCCCTGAGAGCAGGTGCATAGTCCCACACCTGCCCCTGTGACAGCATGGGGTGTCAGGAAAGCAGCGTTTGGCATGTGCTTCGATGGAGATGGGAACGGGCCCACAGCTCTACCAGAGGGTCATTGCAGCCCTGCCCCTCCTAAGCACTAAGCTGAGTCCCCGAGAGCCAATTCAGAAGCTGCTTTTCGGGGTGGGGTTGGCACTTCTGGGTCTGCCTGGCCCCGGGTTGGCTGCAGTGGGGCAGGTGCTTCCCTAAGCTGAGCAACTGGTCCTCTCCTTGGGTGGGAAACTTGGGCAAGGCATTTGCAGAGCTCCAGGTTATCCTTCCCTTCATTTTGTAGTCGATTTACATGTAGGAGATTTTGACCATGGCAAAGCAAGTGAAATGAATAAAGTACAAAGTTCTGTCAGGTACTAGTCAGACACTGTTGATGCTTTAAGCATGTTAGCCATGTTACAATGGAAAGAAAAGGTGTTTTACATACAGAAATCTACATACATACAACAGCCCAAGACTTCTAGTTTTGTTGTTGTTGCTTAAACAAAGCTACAAGACAATGTTCAGGAACTGACCTTGGACTCTTTCTCCTCCAGGAGGGTCTCCAGCTTCTTTTGTGCAGCACGACCCTCGTGGTCGTCGCTGACTATCAGAATGACGTGGTTCCAGTTGAAGACTCTCATCATCTCAAACCAGACGTTGGCCTGGTGAGAGTAAGGTGGGACTGTGCGCAAAAAGGACAGGTGGATGCTCTGCAAGGAAGAACAAGAGCTCAGCACACGCTGTGGGGGTGTCAGCCACGTTCACAGGGACAGGGCTGGCTGGGATCACAAAGACATTTTGGGATGCACATCTTGGGCTAACCTCTGGGACCTGCATCCTTCCTTCTGGCTGGGAAACAAACCCTGGCTATGACTTTGTAGCTCTCTGTGGTTAAACCAGAATATGGCAAAGAAAGGTTTCTGCTTTGTGGTCCATAAATGCACAGAGGAGAAAAGCCTGTCGAGCCACGAATGACCAGCAGTGTTCAGTGCAAATATAGCCTTGCTTCTTGACCTTTTAAATTATTACCAGAAAATGGACATCAAAAAGCAAAAGAATTCCCTTCAGAAGGCAAGAGGCAGGTGCAGGCAGCTGTGTATTCGTCATTTGCCATGGGAGAAGTTCAGAAAGGCAGTTTTATAACACGGTCCCTGGCTGTTTCTAGGTCAGCCTGTTCTGCAGCAGCAGGCAGGAGGAGGCAGCTCTGGACTCGTGCCCCAGCAAACCTCTCTGATTCAGTTAGAAACATCGTTATGGTTGGGTGATTGTGCAATAGCAATTCCAGCCTAATTAAGTACAGCGCTCTTAGGGGAGCAATCAGACCAAAAGCTGGAGCTGACAGAGAGCTTTCAAACAAATGCAGCTTGTCCAAAAGGCCCTAGAGTCAAATATTAGGAAGTGAAAGTGCTCATGCTCAGCATGGACCCTACTTGACAGCCCAGCTACGTGCTGGAGGGAGACAGGAGCTAGAAGTGGAGAGGACAAAAATAAAGCACTATAATATTTCTTTCTCTAAGGCTGAGATGGTTGTTCAGACCTGCTCATCCAGAGACCAGACCCAGAATAGGTCAGAAATGTCCTGAGTGGGCCAAAGCAATACACACTGGAAAGGAAAAGGCATCATGTCCATGGATACACACAGGAGGGACAGACACACCAAATAAATCCTCTTCCTCACACTTAGCACGGTGATCATATCAAACCAGACCATGGAATGTGTAGAAAAGGATGGAAAGCCCCTGCTGTGCTCAGGGCTCAGGTCCCTGCTCCTGCCCCAGCCCAACACCCAGGAACAGGGAAGCAGCAAAGCCAGCACAGCACTGGGAACATTTCCTGAATGTCAGACACTGAGGAGAAGGGTGGGTGTTTAATCAGAGGAGGGAACAAACCAGGAGAGCCCAATAAGACTCTCAGAGTGTGACTGATACAAACATTACAGTTACAGGAAGAGCAGCTCACCCCACAAAACCAGCACTAACCCATAGGATTGGGAAAAAGCCCCACGGGGACAAACAATGGAAACACAACCATGGTGTCCACTCCAACACAGTGTTCAAGTTCTCTTTGTAGTCAGCAGAGATGCCCAGGAATTTCCAGGTCCAGACGCACAGCCTGGGCCAGGGGCACACCATCTGGGTCTCAGCATTTTTAATTTTTAACCCCTGAGCATTTTTAATTGCTTTAAGGAAATTCAGGGAAAGTTAAACTGGAAATGGGAAAAAATCAGAAGAGAGAAAAGAGCTGAAATAATAACAGAGAAGCCAATGTTGAAAAAAAAGAAAATCAGAGAAACACAGGTTAAAACATCAAAATTCTATAAAAATTCTTTTAATCTCTTTTTGAAATGAAAAAAATCTTTGAAATTTCCATATAGTGCATCAAATTACTTTCCTGGTTCCCAACCAGCTTTCAGTCTCTGATGACAAACTCTGCACCTCTTCTCTCTCCCTTCACTCCTGGAACCATTCTTAAAGCTGCAGAACTCAATATTCAACACCAACAGAACAGATGATTAGGGATATACAAGCATCATAAAGTCACCCCAAGACAGGTGTTTAAACAGATCATGGCTTTCTTAAGTATTGTAAATACAAATCACTGAGTTCAGAGAAAAAAACTACTGCAAGGTTTTTAGGGGGTTTAACAGTTCAAGCAAATTTGCTTTCTAAGGTGGAGTCAAAAGGGCCATGGACAGACTCTGGTGTTATCTCAGCTCCTGGATCCCTGAACTGTGGTTTTCAAATAGGATAATGTAAAAAAATTCATGTCAAGTGGTGAGCTGAGATCTGAGGATGAGCACTCACAGTCTGTGTGCAGCTTTTGAAGCACCTGGGACTCCTGAGCATCTCTGCAAGGGCCAAAGATTGGCAGAAAAATGAACGTGGAGTCCCCCAGAGGTTCACATGTGCAGCTTGTGCTATGCAGAGGCAGGTGAGAATCCAGCTTGGTGTGATTTGATACCCTCCATCCCAGCACACGCAGTGACATTCCACACGTCCCTGTCACACCCCTCTGAAACCCTAATTACCCCATTTTTTGGCAAATAGTTCTTAAAAAAGACTTGTGTTTTTTAGCACAGCCTCTGTGAGACAGCCAGCACAGGGTGTGGGCTCACTCAGCTGCACCAGCTCTGCCCCTGTGAGCTGCTCCAGGCACTTGAACTCGGGGCTGCCGAGGGTCATCACTCCCTCCCCTCGGATCAGGCACAGAAACTGCTCCTCATTACAAGTCCACGTTGGCCTTGCAGGATGTTCTGTAGGATACTCAGCCCTTGCTCCCCTCCGAGTGTGCCTGGAGCTGGTCACGGTGCTGGAGTGCGGGAATGGCTCACACCAACCCCAGCCTGTGCAAACCTCCCTGCAGCCCACCACACCTGAGTGCTCAGCCCTCTGCTCCCTCACTTCATTCTAGTTCTGCAAAAAAGCAGCAAATGCAGGCTGGGGTGAAATCCAGGTGCCCAAGCTCAGCAGGAACCCAGGGAACTGGAGCCAAAAACGCACCAGAGTGAACATGGCTGGGAGGTTGGGATATTTCCTGGCAGGGTGGGCAGGCCCTGGCACAGGGTGCCCAGAGCAGCTGTGGCTGCCCCTGGATCCCTGGCAGTGCCCAAGGCCAGGTTGGACATTGGGGCTTGGAGCAGCTTGGGACAGTGGGAGGTGTCCCTGCCCGTGGCAGGGGTGAAATGGGATGGGCTTGAAGGTCCCTTCCAACCCAAAGCAGTCTGGGATTCTGTGATGATTTTGTGTGGGGTCAGGACTTGAGAACTGCAAGTATTTGATGCAAGTCCATACAAAGAGGAGCTGTTGGAGTAGATCGTGTGTGTGTGTGTGCGTGTGTGTGTGTGTAAGCACAGACTGTGCATGCACAGCTGTGAGCCTGACAATGCAGAAAGCACGGGAGTGCATCCACCCCTGCAGGGAATGTGCCTGGTGCTGGAATCCTGTGCAGTGCCATGCCTGGGGGAGAGCACTGGGGGTGCCTTTGCGTGGAGATTTTATCCACAGGGGAAAGGGCATGGCTGGGAGCCAGCAGGCGGTGTCTGTGTGTCACATCAGGGCATGTACAGCACCATGAGTGAAAGGTTTGTTACTTTCTTCACTTCTGTCTGCCCAGGGGCTCACCCCAGCTCAGAGCCCATGGCTGGGGGAGTGATTTTTCCTACAGGCTGAAGGGAGCAATGTGCTTTTGCTTCATTACCTTTGGGGTCAATCCCCCTTCTAGCAATGCGCTCCCCAGATGAGCTGCCTGGGAAATTTCAAAAAGATTGACAGAGATCCTAATCTGTAAATCTCCTGCAAATTTGGTAAAATTCACCAGCTGGGCATGAGAAAGAAGTGTTGGCCAGTGTGTCCATGGAAGGAGCCTGCCCACTGCCCCACATGCCAGCTGTAGATGTGGGAGGGAGCTGAGGTAACATTGAGATAGCTCAGAGGAGTGCAGGGAGGAATTTGGGTGCAGGGGGATGGGGAGTTCAGACCAAAGTGCACTCTCTGCCTTTCCCTGCAGTGCACAGAGGAAGGCATGGGGCAGCTTCTGGGGCAGGGCCACTGTGGGGAGATGAGGCTGCTCTGTCCTGTTCCCAGCTGGAACCTGAGAGCCTGGGGGGATCTGCTGGGATGGGGGTCACCTTCAGGCCATCTCTCCACTACCCTGGTCTGCTCTTGCACATTCCAAGCTGTCCAGCTGAGGGCTGTCCTGCCCTGCTCAGGGTTTTCCTGCCCTGCTCAGGGCTGTGCTCCCCACTCCCAGGGCAAACATCTCTGTGCTGCACCAAGCAGCCTCTCCTGTCATCACTTGTGGGTGCCAGTGAAGGAGTACTGACCCTGACCTTGGTCAACAAGAGCCACTTTTCTCCCCACTTGCACCTTCCCACCCTAACAGGGCTCCTGCTGAGCATCCACAGCCAGTGAGAGCAGTAATAGAGAAGAAAACCCTTTTCAGTGAACAAGCTGGAGAAGTTGCACTGAGAGCAGGAACCAGAGGGAAAAGCCATCCCCTGCCTGGGGAAAGACAGACCTCACTTCAACCACCAGGGTAAGGTGCTGGAACTGAAAACGCTCTCCAACTGCAGCACATCTAAACTCCATTTCCCAAATCTTCCAGCAGCAGAGCAGGTCTCTTTTAATTTATTAATCTATCTCCCTGATCCTCTGCTGCAATAATCTGTGGGTGGTGAGGTGCTCAGCACCTCTGGGCACCCAGGGTGTTGTTCCAGCCCCACACGTAGGAGAGGTCTCACATGGAGGTGTTGAACCTTTCCTTTTCTCCCCCTGAGCTGTGCATTTGCCCAGGCTCTGCTCTCACACTCGGTGTCATCTCACATTTTTCATGGTGACAAGATGTCCATGTCATCTCGTTTTTTTCAGCTGAGATACAGAGGAGATATAAACACCCCCAGTGACCCGTGGGGGACAGGAGCACTAAGGAGCCCAGCATGGGAAAGTCAGAGGAGGATTTTTGGAATGCTCAGTCCATGAGATGTCCCTGGAGGGCTCTCCATAGCGAGGGGCACCACAGTGATGGGAACCACTCTGCTGCCTTTACCTTGAGACTCCCTCTCTCCTCCAGCTCCCTCTGACTTCACTCAGGAGTGACTGGAGTTCCAGAGACCTCTCCCTGCACAGGTAGGACTGTGGTGGGTGGTGTGAGGGTCTCAGTGAAGTCCGAGTGCTCTGCCTGATAACTGCACTGTTATTTCTAGAACAAATAGTTGGTTGGATACTGTGAGCAGTAAAACTCACTTCCCTCTAGTATCTTTGCTGAAAGACTGGCCACAGCTCAAGGACCACTGTGCTTGACTGGAGATGCTCTGAGAGCATCAAAAGGTACTGGGCAGACCTGTCCATGCTGAGGTCCACACATTTCCTCCCCCTCGTAGCCTTGAGAGGACCAACAGCAACCCAACTTCATCCCCCTGTGAAATTCAGCTAAAATTGTCTGATGCCTCCAAAACCAATTAAGGGCGTACATACAAAGTGATCCTACAAGCTCGTTTCCATAGAAACTAAGCTGAAAGATAAAATTTCCTGAATTAAAACAAAAAAGAAGGCAAGCTGATCACTGGAAACCAAAAAGGGAACAGCTGAATGTCCCTGTGTCACGAGCCATCCTGTCCTGCATGGGGTGTACAGAATCTCCCACTGTCCTATCCCACAGCTCCGCCCCCTCTGTCACCCACTTCACTCCCACCTTTGTTATCCCCTCCACTGTCCAAACATCTTTTGCCCCTCTACCCAGTCCCTGCCTTTGCCCCATCTCCTTCAGAGAGCTCCAAGCCTTGGTGGGCAGGAGGCTGAGGATGATGCCAGCCGGGCAGGAGTGCTCTGAGGGGTGTTGGGGCGGGGCTCCCTGCCCAGTCTCTGCCAGCCAAGTGTACCCCACAGCCCTGAACCTGCTCAACACCCCAAACATTCCATGGAGAGCAGCTCCCTGCCAGGAGTCACTGGGTCACCACTGTGGCCATGGTCTCTCCTCCAGCCCTGAAGTGAGCCAGGTGGGGTTTATGAGGCTGTTTTGCAGAAAACATGTTTTAAAAAGGAACAGATTGGCAGAAGCAGAGGACGGAGCCAGCCCCTCGGGGTGAGCACTCCAGGTCAGCACGGTGCTGGGGACAGCAGTGGCTTTGCTGGGCACAGCCCTGCAGAGATGGAGCAGACATGAGGTGCAAGGTCCCCTCTCCCTGCTACCCTGTGACAAGGACACTCTCAGTGGCATTTCTGTCAGATCTCCTCCCCAGAGCAGCAAGAAGCAAATCCCCCCTGAACACTTCCTGCCTGCTCTGCAGCTCTGTTTCCATCCCTTTCCATCTAACCATGCCTGGTGGGACCCTGCCAGGGTGTGCAGCCCTGCGAGCCACCACCACTGCCATGGTCTTGGCTTGCTGACCACCCTGCCATGGCTTCCCTGGTGGGAGATACCAAAACCTGCTGCTGCTCCAGCCAAGCAAGCTGCTGGTGCCTCTCTGGGAGCCTCTGGCCCTCCTCCTGAAATTTGACTTTATTTAGCATGTAGGTGGAGTGACTATTTTTGCACTGAACATTTACATTTGTGAATATTCACATTTTTCAAGCGAAGGCCGATTCGTGCTGTGAAGCAGGCTTGATCTCACCCACTGAGCTCGTGTGCCTGGATGAAATCCTGCAATGGTATTTGGAAAGCCTGGCTCTGCTCAGCTTCTCCTTTTTCCTTTACTAAAGCTTTAGGTTTTTGCCAAATGGGCTGTGAGCTGAGGGCCAGGGCAGCACCTCATTGCCCAGACACTGCCTGCACATGGCAGGACTGGAAGTCTCTGTGCTCCCACAGGGACAGCTGAGACACTGAAATCTGCAACTCTGTCTAGAGTACTGACCAGACTGAATGTCATGTGAAGCCTCAGGATATTCTGTTATTTTCCCTACCAATATTCCACAAACCCAGAGAAGTGAATGCAACCAAAAAACCTCCAAGCCCCAGAAAGATCCTGCCCAAGGTACAGGCTCTAACAGGATCCTCTCCCCTTCCCAGGCCCCCAGATCCCCCAGGACCCCCTGGCTGTCAGCTCTGAGCAGGAGTTGTGGCTGGAGAGCAGCGAGCCCGGCAGCCTGGCAGAGCAGCGCTGCAGAAATCATCTGGCACTATGTAGGTCAATACTGGCAGCTGCAAAAAAATTATGTGCCCTGGAATGCAGGAGAGAGAGAAGGAGCTGCAGGCTGGGCTGGAGAGGGTGGATGGACAGACACAGAGAGAGTGTAGACATCATTAACCCTCCTGATGGGCACTCTTGATTTACAGCACATGTATGAGGTACTAGACCAGAAGCATGCATCAGTTACCTTATCAGAATATATAGACATGCGTGTTGTCAGACCAATGACAGGGATCCTGTAGAAGCCAGCTGTGTATGATACAGGTGTTGGTGTTAGGTGATCGTTGGGAGCAGGAGGGTGACTAACTAATATTGCATAGACCTGTAGGACAGGATACACGACACAAACATTATTTCACGGGAGCGCATCGGCCACTGAGCGTGATTTTTTTTCCCCTTCTCTTTTCTGCAATGCTAAACAGCCCCTTGTTAACATGATAAGGGCACTGAAATGACTGGGAGCGGGGAAGAAAGGGCTGTGCTGAGAGCCGGGGGTGCCACGGCTGGAGGTGATGGCTCTGCTCAGGCTTATGTCCTAATGGAATGCCGTGCCCAACTGCTCCGCTCACTAAACTAATAACTTCCATGGATTGCAGATTAAAGGGAAGCATCTCCCTTCCAGTCACACTGTGTAATGCGATTTCTTTAACCACACATTTAATACTCGGTTGTAATTCCCCTCTGAGGACCATTACGAGCAAAGTGGTCAGCAGGGACTGTGGCAGGAGCGGGAGCGCGGAGCCAGGAGCGACTCAGCCATCTGGCCCTGGGCAGACGCGAATGGCAGAGCCTGCAGGGCGGGGCAGCAGCCGGGATCTGCCCTCAGCCAAGGATCTGGGCTATACCAAAATGGGGAAGGAGGATCTCGGCAAAAATCTGCTGTTACGGTAGGGCTGGGATTTTGGTCTCCAGCAGGATCCTACTTTGTGTCAAAAGGAGAGGAAGGAGCTGAGCAATCCCTGGGGATCCCTTATTACACCGATGCCCTTTCACTGCACAAGGAATGTCCCCAGCTGGTGACAGGTCTCCAGCTAGGGCGAATCAGTGCAAGGACTTTGATGTATGGAGGAAATAATTCTTCCTTCTCCACGCATCTGCCCAAGCCCCAGGATGTGCTCAGCACTCGGGCTGGAGGGACAGATTGCCAGGAGAGGAGGATGAAGCCTGCCTGGGGAAGGGGCCCTGGAGTCTGGGGGGAAGAGGGAGGATCCTGTTTGGCATTGGGAGGGAGTAAATTGAGGGTGCAGAGAAGCTGAGGCAGGGGCTGGAGACCCTACATGGGAGTAGGGAGAAATTGCTAGAGAAGAGGTTGGGAAGGTCCTGGGGATGCAGGAGAAGGGGATGCCCTGGGCAGAGGTGCCCGGTGCTGACACAAGGAGTGAGGAGTTGCACCCAGAGGGGCTGGGGCAGGACCCTGGGACAGGAGCAGGGTGTAGGGTCTCGGGCTGTGCTGTGGCGCACGGCAGCCCTCGGCAGGAGCCATTTTGCGTTCGCAGGCTGCCAGCCCCTGCTCTGCCTCGCACCCCCCTGCTCTGGGCACAGCGGCCGGGACAGCCCCTGCTGTGCTGGGACGGAGCGGCCACCCCGAGCCAGCAGCCGCAGCAGCGCAGCCCCCGTGCCCGGCTCCGCTCCCGGCGCTCCGCGGGCTCTGCGCGGGCACCGGGCGTGCAGGTGGCGAGGCCACGGGCATCCAGCAGCCGGGAGCGGTAAATGGAGCCTGGGCTCAGTGCGGGACCCGTCTGAGCCGCCCCTGCTGCCAGGGGACAGCGGGAGTCGGGGACAGCCCGCGCTGTCCGGCCTGGCCACCACCCCAGGGATGTCCCCAACTATCCTCCAGCTCCACACCGGGCAGCTGAGCTACAAAGGCTGAGCTCTGCTCCGCGCGGCCCCTCCGCCTTCGCTGGCTGTGTGTGCCTGGGTGCGGACAGCATTTCTGTGTGCGATGGGGCTGGTGAGGCTGGGCTGGGGGCGTTCGTGCAATTCGGGTGCGCCTTTGCTCCTGCGCACGGGCCCACGCCGACCTTCCTCATGTGCGGGGCTGTGCTGGGCGGGGGTAGGTCTGTACCTGCCTGTCCGCCCCCCGATGGCCCCGGCTGACGGGCCGGGGGTGGTTAGCCGGGCTCTGCACCCAGAGCACACGCAGGGGAGGTGGAGAGGCGCCCCAGCGGCGCTGAGGGTTCGGACGGCAGCCTCAGGTGCTGAGAGTGATCCGTGGGCAAAGGAGGGAGGATCATTCTGTGCTCGTGTGTCACACACAGTCACACACAGCACACACCGAGTCTGTGCGCGTGTGCACGCTGTGTCTGTTTGCCTGTGTGTCCGTGTGTCTATGTGTCTGTGCAGGTGTGTGCCCTGTGTCTGTGTGTCTGTGTGTCTGTGTGCGCTGTGCCTGTGTGTCTACAAGTCCAGCTGCATGTGCCCGTGTCCCGGGCGAGCGTGTGGCTGTGAGTGTGCCAGGTCCTCTCACACAAATGTGTGTGTCCATGTGTCACAGCAGCTGTACACGATGGCACAAGTGCAGACACGTGTTGTGTGTGAGCCCGTGTTTGCACAGCAGGGCACGTGTGCACATAGAATGCGTGTGTGCACATGGAATATGTGTGTGCACATGGAGTTTGTGCACACATGGAGTATGTGTGGCACATGGAATGTGTGTGTGTGCACATGGGAATGTGATTGGCACATGGAATGTGTGTATGTGCACATGGTATATGTGTGTGCACATGGAATATGTGCGTGTGCACATGGAATGTGTGTGTGTGCACATGGAGTGTGTGCACACATGGAATGTTTTTGGCACATGGAATGTATGTGCGCATAGAATATGTGTGTGTGCACATGGAATCTGTGTGTGTGCACATGGAGTGTGTGTGTGCACATGGAATGTGTGTGTGCACACGAAGTGCAGCCTGTGGGCATTCCCACACATGTGTGAGTGCACAGTCTGTGTTCCCTGTGCCCACATCTCCCTCCAGTTTGGGGATGCCCGTGTGTGCTCATACCTAGCTCTGTGTGTGCCCGTGGTGTTCTGTGTGTGGTGTAGCTGCACATGCATGTTGCTGTGTGCATGCACAGCGTTGGGTGGACATGTATGTGCACCCACTCAGTGCATGGGGGCCTGTGTGCGCCCAGAGAGTGTGTGTGAGCCTGTGTGTGCCCTGGTGTGTGTGAATCTGTGCATGCCTGAGCTTTGTATGTGAGTCTATGTGTGCCCAGGGGCTGTGTGTGCCTGAACTTCATGTGTGAGTCTGTGTGCTCAAGGGCTGTGTCTGTGTTAGTTTATATGTGCTCAGGCTTCGTGTGTGAGTCCGTGCCTGCCTGGGCTTCGTGTGTGAGCCCATGTGTGCCCTGAGGGGTGTGTGTGTGTGCCTGTGGGTGTCTCAGGGCTGTGTGGGTGCTCCTGTGTGCCCCAGGGTGCTGGCGTGAACCCGTGTGTGCCCCGTGGGTGTGTGGATGCCCATGTGCACCCCGTGTGTGTGTGAGCTTGTGTATGCTCTGCGGTGTGTGTGTGAGCCCATGAGTGACCCAGGTGAGGGTTGCAGGTGGCCATGCGTGCCCAGGGTGGTGTGTGTGAGCCCGTATGTGCCTGGGGGCTGTGCAGGTACCCGTGTGAGCCCCAGGGTGTCTGTGGGTGCCCGTGCGTGCCCGGGCTATGTGCGGGTGCCCGTGCGTGCCCGGGGGTGCGTGGAGTGCGCAGTCGGCCTCTCTTACATAAAGGCTGCAATGCGGGCAGCGCTCCCCGGGCCCGGGCAGGACCCCGCACAGCGCGGCTCGGCCGGGGGGCACCGCGGGGCCAGGGCGGGGTGGCCGCGGGGGCGGCGGCTCGGGTCCCGCCGGGGACGGGGCGGGGAGGGGGTCGCCGTCCCGGGGTACCTGGCTGGAGATGAGGTCCTCGCAGACGGACAGGGCCATCTGGATGGCGTTGGGCTTGTGGGTGACGGACGTGGCGTTGAGCTGGAGCTTCCATGTGCCGTGCCGCTTGTTGGCCTGGTTCACCGCCTCGCGGAAGATCTGCTCGTGCTTCTTGGTGCTCAGCACCGCGCCGATATTGACGATCTTAGGGTCGCAGCCGGCGCGGGCGAAGGACGACGAGAAGAGGAGGGCGAGCAGCAGCAGCCGCATGGTGCTCATCCACGGGCGGCCCGGAGCCCGCCGGGCCCCCCGCGCCCCCCGCCCGCCCGCCCGCCCCGCGGGCCGCCCGCCCGGCTCAGCGCGGCCCCATCGGGCTCGGCCCCATCGGGCTCGGCCCGCGGGCAGTGCCCGGTGCTCGCTGCGGGCTCTGCCGGGCGCTCTCCCCGGTGCTGAAGCGCCCGCGCCGCTGCCGCCTCTCCGCCCCGCCCCGCCCGCCCCGCGCTGCCGCAGCGCCCGCCCCGCGGCCGCCCCCGGGACCCCCGCCCGCCCGGGCGCTGCGGCACAGCCCCCCTCCCGCGGGGGCTGCGGGGTCGCTGCGGGGTCGCTGCGGGGTCTGTGGCACAGCCTGCAGGGCGCGGGTGCCGCTGTCCCCGTGCCGGGCTGCGGGTGCGAGTGTCGCGAGTGTCGCTGGTGCGGAGGAGCACGGCTGGTCCGGGGCTGAGCACTCGGGGTTCCGCTCCACCCTTTTCACCCGCAGTCCCCTTTCGGGATCAGGGCATTCCCGGTGCCTCGGAGGGCGCAGACACACCAGGCATTCAGTAACCCAGGGAGTGGGGGTAAAACACGGTCTGTGGGTTTGTTCTCCACACCAATATTCCCACCTATGCAGCAGCTCTGAATAGCACACTTCTGCAGCTCTGCCTGGGGACAGCTGTGTGTGACATGGACTCAGTTATGGTCTGCTTGCACTCCAGTGCTGGAGAACTCTCCCTTGACCAGCACAGCTCCTGGGCAGAGATGCTCAGCGGGTGCTCAGCCCCGTTCCTTGCCTTCCGTCTGTCCCCCCAGACAGAGCCACCACTCTTCTAGACGTTAGCTCACAGGGCAACCAGCCATTTCCCTCAATTAAATTCACCAGATTACTCTGGGATATGACCTTACGATTTCTCTGCTGAGGAGATTTCTTGAGATTCCCATAATCTACCTGTTTTTGGGTTACCATTAGCCTCCCTTAAGGAAATGGAAGCACAGCAGCCACTGGCCAACATCTGGAGAGCAGTCCAGCTCCATGGCAGAAAGAGACTGAATTTCACTCCTGGACTGCACCTGTCCCATTCCAGAGCCAGAGGGGTGAGGCAGCCAGAACAGCACATTGCTCCCCAGAGCAACTTTGGCCTTTTTGGAGAAAAACAACGGGGTTGCAGGTAGTGAGAGCGTGTTGCTTTGTTACTGCACGGGACAAACGCCACAGCCAGCCCGGGCACTGCAGAACCAAAACCACCAGGGATATTTTTACACGGCCATTTCTGGGGTGCTGATGCAGCCCACCTCTGTTCTTCCTTTGCAACGTGAGTTGAAGCAGAATATTTTCCCCCAACGCAAATTTTCTCACTGGCATCTCTGAAGTGCGAGTTGCCATGGAAACCATTTTGCCTATGTCCCACATTGCCCACATGCGCTCGGAAGGAGCTGCAGGAGCAAAATGGCCGTTGTGTAATGCTGCAGGGCTCGGCGTGCCAGCGCTCTGTGCAGCCTCTTCCAGCTGTGAGACCCTCTCAGGAAGCTGCAGACCATAGCTTGGGGAAACAATGAAGCCCATGGAGGTCATGATGCGCTCCGTGAGAGAAGGAAAACGGCCCCACCTCGCCGTAACTCTTGCAGTGCTTGGCGTGGAGCTCCACACCAACCCTGCTGTGCTCTTGGAACAGACTTCCAGGAAAGCTTAACCCTTTTCAGCGTCACCGTGTCATTCCCACTCCTCCAGGCATGAAGCTGAGGGCCTTGCTGGATTCACACGGTGTGGGTTTGTGTTGAAGGGACAAAGGGTGAAAGCCAAAGAGAGTTGCATCCCTACCCTCAGTGTGCACAGAGCTGACTTCATTCCTTCCTCTGCTTACGAGGTGCACCTACAGTAGGTTGTGTGGGAAGAAACTGTTCTGGAGTGGGCTGTACAGACCTGGATCCTGGTGGCTGTGATGGCAGTAGAATAACAAAGTCAAGACCTGGCCACAGCAGGTGGCTTGGCAGAGAAGACAAAGGGAAAAGGCAGGCTTTGAAACGTTATTTGGAGTGCAAGAGCTCTTTCCCTCTCATTCCCTGGAGTTCCTTGCAGGGAGGAGTGCAGCTATTGAGTCCCTCCTGTGTTGCTCAGGATCTGGGATGGCCATGCTTAGGAGGCAGGCTCTTCCCTCTGTGCCTCCATTCATTTTTTTTGTGTCCAGAGAGTCTTGTTTCTGGCACAGTTGTGGAGATCTGAAAAATGCCTGCTTCCCTCTCAGGTCATGTCCCCCCCATCCATGTTTTGCTGGCACCAGGAGCAGCCTGGATGACAATTCCCTGCAGCCAGGCTCAGCCAGCACAGATGTTGTCACCGCCCGCATCTCCCTCTTGCTGTGTCCTCAGGCTCTTTGATCCTCTGAAGGCAGAGGGAGTGTGCAGGGCTTTCCCAGGGCATGGGGAGCACAGCCACATCCACCAGCTGATCCTGGCAGCCAGGGATGCTCTCTGCTCCCCCTGTCGCTGCCTCCTGGCACATCATGGCAACCTCCTTGGCCACGGTTGAAGGCAAGAACTGACCTCGGCTGCCTGCTAGCAATTAGTGCAGTGTGATCCTGCCCTTCCTGTGGCACCTCCTGCATGGAGGGGGTTGGACACGAGCATAGGAGGGGTGTTGGTGAGCTGTCCCCTCGCCAGTGAGTGCTGTAATTCCTCCCAGAGTAACTCAGTGTAAAACCTGGAGACCTCAGAGGAGCAGCACTGAACCCAGCTGGAAACTTCACCTGCCACGGGGTAAGGCATCAGTCCCAGTGGAAGAAAAGGCAATAGGGAATTTCATGGAAGACAAAAGGGTTAGGAATATTCAACTTGTGCCACTCCTTGTGGAGCTATCAAACAATTCTTCTTTCTCAAAAGAAATGGAATTGAGAGCAATAACTGCAACACAGGCTGTGGAAATGCTTCCTGTGTGCAGCTGCAAGGTTGATCTGAGGTGTAAAACAGAGCAAAGAACACGCTGAGTGCCCATGGCAAGGCTCCAAGGCCTGGTACTGAAGAGCTGCCGTGGGACGTGGGTGTTCCTACAGGGATGAAAGGATTTGCAATGCAGTTGCCACTTCAGTATTCCTGCCTTTGCTCTAGAAGCAATCGCTGGTGATAAAAATCTGTGAGACAGCAAATAATGATGCCAAATCACTTGGATTCTTTGATAAGCACAGAACTGGAATGTATTTTAGGACAGCCAGTGTAGAGCCATGAAAGCAGAAGCAAGTATTTTTGGTCCTGCTCTTTGGACAGGACTGCAGATCCAGTGGAGACACTGACTGTAAATGTGGTCTCTAATACTGGCCTGAGGGTCAGAGACCACGAATTTCCAAACAAAAAGGTGGCGTTGTCATCCTTGGAATCACCCTGAGGAGTCAGAGCAGCAGCTGGCAATGACTTGAGCCTCTGTAGGAAACACTGCACAGGAAGGCTGCCTGCAGATCTGGGGTCACATTCTTTACAAAGAGGCTGAAAAACCAGAGAAACTATCCTTCAGAATATTTGGAGGAAAAACTCTCCATGAGCTGCTCCAGCAGAGATGAGAGTGGATGCAGTCAGAGCATGCTGCCTTCCAGGACAGGGACAGAGAACAGCACCAAATCCCACTCTGAGGCCTGGGCAGGGATGGTTCAAGGGAGGGGGTGCAGGGTCCCAGCAGCTCCTCAGAGCTGTCCTGGAGGCTGGCACAGTGTCCCCACTGCCAGGGTTCTGGGGACTGAAGTTTGTGTCAGCAGCTGGGACACGGCAGGACGTCCTTGTCAGGGATCAGCCACCCAGACAGGCAGGCAGTGACTCCAGTCTGCAGAGGAAGGTACCCAAGGGCTCTGTTCCTGTGGTGGGGGAGCTGCAGGGAGCAATGAGGTGGAAACCAAGGTGGGAGTGTCTGAGCAGTCCCTTGGTTGCATTTGTGTGTTCAAGCCCTGTCTCCAGCTCCTTCCAGACAACATCCAGGATGGACTGCAGTCCCTAAGTCCCTGTGCTCGTGTTGAATGCTTTCCCAGCTGAGAGGGACTGAGCCCAGCCTACTCTGCAATTCAGAAGTGGCTGCTGGAGTCCCCAGGCAGCACAGCTCCATGCTCTAGGAATCCATGGGCATCTGTGTTGCCTTTACCCAGTTCTCCCCACAGGAAAGAGCTCCAGGCCCCAAAGGCCTTTGCCACCTTCCTGAGCAGAGTGTTTGGCACATCTGGAATCCCTGCTGTCACAGAAAGGGCCTGCAGCATCATCCTACAGCAGGTGATGAGAGTGGAGGTGTCTCTCCCCCTGCACTGTCAGGTTCCTGCATCTCTGCATCACCCATGTGCAGAATCCCCAGCATCCAGCAGAGCTCTGCCTTCATCCAGGGAGCTGGGCGCACACAGGGATGGGGGAGCTTAAACAAGATGTGAGCAGTTATTCTGGCTCCTGGACTCCAGGGGCTCCAGAGCAGGCAGGGGAGTATCGGGTCAGTGGCAAGAGGATGGGATATGGAACACCAACAGCCAGAGGCTAACGTGGTGAGAAACCCCAAACCACCTCCTGTGCAATCGGAGGGAACTGAATGTGCAGAAACACAGTCAGATGTGCAGTAGGAGGGGTGGGAAGTTCAACTGCGAACATTTTCCAAGGGAAAACCAGGATTTGCGTGTTTGAAATGCATTGCAGGGAAAATGTCATTTTGGTAACATTCCAATTTTCTGCTGGAAAACCAGCCAAAAGCTGGGCTTCAGCTGCCTGTACATCGTGTCCCAGGAGATTGGGCAACTTGTCCTCAGGGACTCCCAGTCTCCTGGGACTGCCACATAGCAGGAGCTGGAAAGCACCTCAGAGACTGGTCACTGCTTGGGGATTTCCTGCACTTCTTTGTGGACACACGCATTTAGAGAGCTGGGGAATTACAGCTTGGAAATTCTTTTCAGGCCTGGATTTCTCCTGACTCTCAGCTCCATTCCCAGGCTGACAAGCTGACTGCAGCTTCAGTTAGGGAGGAGTCTCCCAGAGTGATAACATGGTGACAAACAGAGTGGAATTCATCACCAACATTAACC